GAGCTTCCCACGTTATGCCTGACATCAAGCGACGGTAGCATTGTATTGCACATATAAACACACCATAACGGAGATACAACATACTAGATGAATACAATGTTGACGGGGATCCAAACAAACATTTACGACTGCCTTTGTCATTTCTGAAATACTTTATGATATACAAAATCCATCTTCCCACACAACCGGTATATCGTTTACGCATCCATGCTCTCCGTTACATTATATACACAACTTGAATTATTTAGCATCAAGAATTAAATTTAAATTTAATTTTTAAAAATGCAGAATATACAAAAGTTTCGTCACTGAATATATTTATATGCCGTTTTAATCGGGATTCAGGAAATAGATACATTGTACCCATATGAGGAATCGAACCCGGACAGTGGAATACACTGCACTGTCTTACTTAACAAGGGAAGAGTGAGTGAGTGGGTTTGGTTTTACGCCGCTTCTAGCAATATTCCATCAATATCACGGCGGGGGACACCAGAAAAGCTTCACACATTGCGCCCATGTGGGGAGTCGAACCCGGGTCTTCGGAAAAAACCCCATCCCGTTAAGAGGAAGTGTGGGTTGCCGACCAGTGATCTTCGATACAACCTCTGAAATATATTCAGTTATTTTGCATAGTCTATGTAACCCGGGTCCTGTAACCACTAATTAATACTTTTACTGAAGTCATTATTTGAGTATCAACAAAGATGACAAAAAGGGAGTAGTTCTATATTGTTGTATTGCATGCAATATTCCTGAAAAAGTAAGAGTCGTCCCTGTTTTGAGTACACTAAGTTAACTTCATTGTCGCATATATATATATATAACACGTCCAATGTACACGTAATTGCTGTATGCTGAAGCATATAATTATACACATACACTGACACACGCAATAGGAATTTGCAAAGGTGAAACGTTTCCGTAAATATAAAGCGATCAAATATATGAATTAAACGGGAATCCATGGTTTTCAAAGAAGGACTCCTTTGCTGTATACAATGCGAAATCTATTTATAAATAATAATGAGACATGCACCAAGACCTCACTGTCCGAGACGCAGTCTGGTTAAAAGAACCTCTTCTCTCCGATTGTTTCGAGATGCATGCTCGATGCCATAGAGATGGTTCCCTTATATGGATGAGGCCCATCTCTGTTGCCATTTTGTTTCAGCATGGATTTTACGGATTGTACATAATTCTGCAGGAGAAGGTAATATTGTCTCGTCCTGTTCTGATTCATCAAAGTCTAATGAAGCTTTTGCCAATTTATCAGCCTTCCCATCTCCAAGTAGTCCAACATGAGCAGGTATCCATGAAAATTCAACATCTAAAAGATCTTTACTTAATTCATTAAAAGGTCGAGTATAATGTTGATCAAGTCCTGCCTTGCTGAGGAGGAACCTGCCCGAATTGCTTGTACAACAGTGACAGAATCACTGAAAATGACTTTATAAAATGAATCCAATTTGATTTCGGTTGCCATATACATAGGCTTGGGCATCCAGAAGGATTCGCACAAGATTAAGCCATATTTTCCGCATATATCAAACTAATAATGTTTATTTTATACAGTTTGCTGTGTATCAGTCCATGAATAAATCTTTTTAATTATATATATCGCAGTATATTATAGTCTTGGCGCAAGTTAACATCGGGAACCAGCTGATAAGGACATGGGCAAGTCAGTGACGTCACTATATTATGACGTCATGTTATTGTCTCGCCCAGATTCGTGGAGACTGGACGCGCATGTCATAGATGGGAAAGTTATTTATCTAAAATGGGTTGCAAACAGACCAAGGTTACGCCTTTCAAGCAGACATCTGCCGAGGAGGCTCTGACGGGCAAGATCAACTGTCCTCATGAGCTGTACTACGCCAAGTGTCAGGTGACACGGCCCACACCCCGCCTGTCAGGGGCGGAAATTCTCGAACAGCTACGAGATGAGGGCTTGGTCCCCGACCGTCAGTCCAGTGGAGGAGTGGCCTTCTCTGTCCCCGCCAATGAGGGAGTTGTTCCCCGTGGCAAAGCTCCCCGACGTCTGGAGCAAATCCCAGTTCGATGCTTCTACACAGCTGAGAGGAGGAGACAGAAGGCGGATCTATTCCGACTGGACAGGTAAAGTCTTTGTGACGAAATCTGTACAAATGCTTTGAAAGTTTATATCACTAAACATACCTTTATACTGATTAAATATTGATCTAATTCCACGTGACATGTTGACAGGTTGGTAGAACAAGTCCAGAGGAAACAACTGGACAGAGAAATCAAGCACAAGGTTGTCAAGGACGAGAAGAAACGTCGCCAGTTCCTGAAGAAAATGAGGGCGGAACATCAGCTCCAGATGAGGGAGGAGAAACTGAAGAAGCTGGAGGAAGAGCGGGCGGCGAAGAGGAAGAAGCCAGCCACGAAGTAGACTCAAGTAGACTAAAGGAAGCGAGTTGATGATGGTTCGAATGTAAATACCAGCGGGTGATGCAAATGTATAAAATAAACCCGAAAAAGCCCCACACCCAACAATACCTGAAAAAAAGAACAAGAACAAAAAAGAAGAAAGAGACCAAGCGAAACAGGAAGCCAGGAGATGAAGCTGAAATGAATACAGCCCGTTATTCGCTTGGAATGTTGATATCTTAAAAAATACTTTGGTTTATATCTGTCTGTTAATCTATCAACGAGGCGTCTTTAGTATATGAGAGAGGGACACTCATATATGAACGTTTGGAATAATGTGTAAACACTCTATATTGTTCAGTTGTATTGCTTATATATACTTTTAATGGTTATATTCTTTAAGTTAAGAATAAAATGGTGTATATATTAATTTCTTGTCTGTCTATAATCTTCATTCATAATGTTGCATTTATTGTTCTGTCCACAGGACACCATTTTAAACAAATAAACTGAAGGTTGGGTATCATTTTCGGAGCATCAGCCCTAAAGCCACACGAGTGAGTGAGTTTAGTTTTATGCCGCACCCAGCAATATTCCAGCTATATGACGGCTCGCTGGCTTGGTTGACACATGTCATCGGTTCCCAATTGCGCAGATCGATGCTCATGCAGTTGATCACTGGGTTGTCTGGTCCAGACTCGATTATTTACAGACTGCCGCCATATAGCTGGAATATTGCTGAGTGCGGCGTAAAACTAAACTCACTCGTACTACCAAGACAATCCACCAGACGGACAAGGTCAGGGTCACATGGGAAGAGTTATCGCCCCTGCGCAGATAGTCGTCCGACTACCCACCTCCTCCCTCTCCCTACTCATACCACTCAGCCCCAGTGCCTCAATGCATCTTCAAGCCCTTCACGGATTCTCCCTTACAGCTGCATAAATTATCTCACTAGTCCACACTTTAACATTCCTCCATATATAAAAATCATTCTTCAAACGTTTTCACTCTGTGAACAGTAACAACCACAGTTTGGAGTGTAAAAACACACATTGCCTGTACTTATAGATGGATTTGTGGCGCAATTTGACTGTGACGGTAACAACCTGAAGCAATTTCGCAATAAAATCGTTGCCATAATTTCTTATTTGTTTGTGTCAATAAAAATATTTTAAAAAAATATAATGTTTCTGTATTTCACTTGTCGTTGAAAAAACCCTCAAATTCGATCATTTTATCATTAACTAAGCCAGCACGAGTTATCTCCCTTTATGACCGTTCTTGAAAAATCATGGTGAAACGTTTTGCGTCTCATTTTGCGGAAGATTGAATGTTGGTTTTTAAAGATAAGCCTAATAAAGAGATCTTAAGGGTAATAAATTCGCCACACGGTGTTTTGACCCTTGTCAATTACTTATTTCCTTCGCCTCAGGAAATACGGAATTTACAAGGGTCTTACAGTCCTGTATAGTCCGTCATACAGACCCTGAAACAAATGTACCCAATGCAGCCCATGCAAGTCTAGAATGTGTGGCAAGTGTAAGACTCCCTTTTATTTTATTTATAATTTTAATCAAAAACTTATATTTCTGTAAGATATGTTCATTTCAGAGACTAGCTGTTAGTCTAAGTCCCCTACACCCTTTCAAAACACCATGTATCTAATATCATTACTCGCCCGTGGAAGACTAGTGTAATGACAGTTATGACGTCACAATGCTAATACCTCTGTCACAATGGTATTAGACAGAGGTATTACACCTTATTAAACTCCTGAAAGATTTAGTATCAAACGATTGAAAGCGAGTTTGATACGAAATAATTAACTCGGTGAATAAATATGGTATTACACGGAAGGTTTTTTAGTATCCTGTATATCTCATCCATGGGACATCACCCGTCGTATCCTTATTTGGATGATAAACTTGAACATAAAAAATATAGTCCGTGACTAACGAGAATTGCACACAACATGTATAATTAGGGATGTTGTACGATGACCGTTCATAACCCTCGCTTATGTATACAACATAGTAAAGTGATATGTGTCTTCCTTCACACCTTGAAAACAAGTCCACTTGTGATAACCATAATATATCATATGAAATGTTACACACGTATATAAAGCTCTGAAAATTGTTTACATTCGTGTTTTTGTTTGTTGTGCGTGCACAACTGATGACAGTGTTTTCTCCAGCAATGATGATTCGGGGGAGGGTGTGTGTGTGTATGACCATGACTTACTTTGTACATAAATTTTAGAGAAGGGTGGGGGTGGGGGTGTCATTCACATTGTACATGCTTCTACATAACCACCTCCCTAGCCATAAATTATGATCGGTCCCTAATCATTATATGGTGATGTGTCATCGGGCTGGCCATACACCCCATACGTATTACAGAATATGGTAATATTGCTGGACTGAAAATATACTCAACAGACATTTTTACTGGACTGAAGACATATAACGCAAAGGGCACAACATGCGTAGGTATTGAAAGACGCTTCAAATACTTGTATTTAACAGGTGCTTGTTTAGAGTTACTCCCCTTAATCTGAAAGTGGCTTCTGATTGGCTCCTTCTCAAAGCGTTATTTAGCAACAAAATGGACGACGAAAGTACAGGTGTTGGAATGTGACAAGTGCTCGATATAGTATTTACAGGTACGCATGTCCCACAACGAAGACAGATATTAAGAATTAATACCATAAAATAATATATATGTAGTTGTTTATGTTTAATGTCGTTCCAGAGAAGATTCGAAGCTTTATGTTTAATTTGGCTACTCCTATTCCAGAAGATACCGGTCCGGTGTTTACGAATGAACGCATTTTTGACAGATATTTTCTGGTACATAATGAGCGTCTTATTTAATTGCCTAGGGTATTGCTGAATGGAGGGTGGACAGTTTCAGACTATGAAGTTCAGGAACAGGGTTGTGACACAGTTTATTTATAATGTCATACCATGGTTACTATTATTAATTATTGACCACATTCAAATATTAGTTTCATTGTAGCAACTAATGAATCGGCTGCAAAACTAATCAGATTCGCCTCTGATAAACACAACAAAAACTTGTGAAAGTATGCAAAGAGACCGCTGTACAGTTTCTGTGAATTACGTGGCTTTGAGCCCTATAAATGCTCGTAAAAGTTGAAAAAAATACATCATACAGTATTATTGAGCGTATAACTTACCCACTCCACACTATGTTAAAGGGAAACAAAATTCAAACTTTGAAATCATCCCAATATAGTCAGTTGTTTCTTTGCAGAATACAAATGTGTCCATTATAACAAAGGATATACAATAAAGAGGTACAGCCAATCTGACATGTTTTTGTTGTTGATTAATGCATACATTCTTGTAGAGTGACTTATACTGGTGAACATCATTATTATGCACAGTGAAAATATCCCTTTAGACTTCTGGTAAACAAACTGATGATAACAAACTTCCTGAATAAAATGTGAACCGGAGATAAGTTATCACTAGACGCGATGATTTACATATTTTCAGATACGTCAGGCATAGATTTAATTTTATGTGCAGATGTAATCTCTGGTAAACTAAACTGGAAACTAACAATTCGATTGCAAAAATACCCAATAAACCTCTTGCTATAAATTTATGTAATAGCTGTTTGGTATAATTGATTGCTATTGCCGTTTATTTTTTATTTATGGAACAGTTTTATCAGTAACTATTGAGGTCTTCACATTCCTGGTATGCAAATGATGAAAAAACAAAATGCAAATGTCATAATTACAACTAGAATTACAAATATATCAGGCCTGTAATAAAGGCATTATAGTCCAAATCGTCATAAATGGTATGAAAGTTAGTCCTTTATCCATACCAAATCGTCACTATAATGTCCTGAAGAAGGGGAATAGTTATTTAACAAATTATCATGTAAAGGTTGGTGTTTTGATGACTATTAACAAGGGGTTGTTTAGCTGATGCAAACTTGCATCCTGTGATTACACTGGCTCATTAAACTGCACAGACTGGATGACTAAAAGATTTTTTTGTCTCCCATTAAGCATGCATGCCTGTATTTCTCCACTGATCTATTACTGTTTGTATGCATGTGTCATGTATACCCAGGTATTTACATCATCTATTTACAAGGGCATCATGTAGCCCTGAAATTCTCATTACAAACAATAGAGAAGTTGCTATCCGTGAAACTTCATGTTCTCAATGAACATGGAAAATTATTGAGTTGTACTGAATGGTTTGTACATTTAAAAATTTGGTGTCCGCACAAGCATGACAAGTGATCAGTGTCTATGTTACAGGCCGTGGGGTCAGCATCTCTGGTGACGATGGAGCCGGATCCAGATGAACAGATCCACCCAGGCTTGGAGTCCCTGGATTGGGGCAATGATTCTAAAGGTGATGTTTCCAGCATCACAAGTTAGCACTTGTTCATGTGACTGAAAAGAAAGTTTCTGTTAAAATTGACAAAATGTAAAATGGGGAGTATGATGTCAGAGCTTTTTTTACAGTTTGGAAAGAAATTTGTTCCAATTTGTTTATGAAAAACATGTTTTATAGAGGCAACACATAAGAATTGCCAGTTCTATCAGACTAGCTAAAGGTCAGTGTCATTGTAAATTATAGTCTGTCAGCCTATTGATCGCCTATTAAAAAAGTTACCTGTATAGCTATCATTATGTTTTTTGTGATTGTTTTGATCAACTCATTCCAGTCGTGGGTTCAATTGATGTAATGTCTGACAGGTGACATAAGAATGTGTTTCATGACCTCAGGTCAGATTTACTCTTGTGTCACCCTGTGCAAATAATACACAATGACCCAGGACAGACACGTGAAATATGTTGTCCCACGAAGCAAAGACCATGATTAAATCATGTGTATCGTTGCTTAGAAGATCCGTCAGGCCCAAACTCATTAATAATAGACCCTGGCATGTAGCTGGAATATTGCTGAGTGTGCAGTATTCAGCCGGTTAAGAAGGAAGGCATATGCAGGTGTCATGGGTATCTAGTTTTGATGAGTTTGTGGTTACAGGTACAACGCCTTCTGCCAAATACAACAAGCTGTCGGAGCAGGCCAGGAAGCTGATGTCGGCAGAGAAACAATGTGCCATGTTCTGTGGAGGCAAGAAGTGCAAGTACTGCACTTACAACCAGTGGAGCAAGAAGCAAATGGACATTGATGGAATCTACTCAAACTGGCAAGTACTGTTTATTGAGTGAGACTGAATATTATTTCAGAAATGAGACTGAACATGGGTGGTCCAGTGCCATCATAATTGTGGGTTTGAATCCAGATTATGTTTCTGTGTTGGTTGATTTAGTGTTCTTGTTCCTGACACCCGTGAAGATACGGGTTAGAATTGATCTTTAGTATCCCATGCTTGTCGTAATAGGCGACTAACGGGATCAGGTGGTCAGGCTCGCTGACTTGGTTGACAAATGTCATTGTATCCCAATTGCGTAGATCGATGCTCACGCTGTTGATCACTTGATTGTCTGGTCCAAACTCGAATATTTACAGACCACCGCCATATAGCTGGAATATTGCTGAGTGCGGCATCAAACTCAACTCACTCACTCACTCACTTGTTCCTGACGTCAAACGTAACTCAGAATATCAATCACTGGATTGTCTAGTTCAGACTGAGTTATTTACAGGTGAATATCATACAGGCAAATATTGCTTAGTGTGGGGTTTAACAACAAACAGCCATTTCCCATTTCCAAGGAATCAGTCACATTTAGTAGTGAACTTCAGTAGTGAAAGCCCATTCCTTAGTTTCCTGTTTGAAGCTTCACACTTGAAGGCATTACCTCGCAGAGTTACTGCCCCTGTATCAGCCCTCACGCTCACTGAGATCACAAAACCAAATGCTAGTGACAGTGCCAAACATCAAAACCAACTTTGGCAAAAGGTCGTTCGCTTTTAATGCAGCAACGAAGTGGAACGAGCTACCGCTTGAACTCAAAACCAGCGAGTCACTAACATCTTTTAAGACTGGCCTCAAAACATTTCTTTTCAAGTGTCAATTTCCATCTTAAGAGCACAGAGCATTTATTAGTGAATGATGCGCTATATAAATGCAATTATTATTATTATTATTATTATTATTATTACCTATTACTGATGGTGTATTTGTTCCAGGGTGACAGAAAAGATACTGGCCATGGCCAGGCCGACCCACATGGCGATAAAGGAGAAGAAACTACTGGATGCATTTGAAAAGTGAGAACATACTGAGATTGTTCCTGTATTACATTTGAATACTTACAGCTATTTTGCAGCATAGTCTTTTCAAGCTGAACAGTACAACCAAAGCCAAGATGGAGTGTCACTCACTTCAGATAGAGATTATGTCACACAAATATCAATGCAACTTGTGCCATGGCCCTGTAGCCACTTCTCCACACACTGCTCCAATATCAGGCTACAATAGAGAGGGGAGTAGGCCTTATTTGATTTCCTGTCACAGTGATGCTGGGCGGTGGGGTAGCCTAGTGGTTAAAGCGTTCGCTCGTAACGCCGAAGACCCGGGTTTGATTCCCCACGTAGGTACAATGTGTGAAGCCCATTTCTGGTGATATCCGCAGTGATATTGCTTGAGTATTGCTAAAAGCGGCATAAAACCCTAACCCAACTCACTGACTAACCACAGTGATGCTGCCATCAACAAACTCATGGTCAAACTTAGATTTAATAAATTTTTAACTTACCTTACCATAGGCATATTACCTCAAGCTCCGCTGAAAAGAGATCAGACAGTCGTTGATTCGCCATCTCTAGAATGGCTGCCTCAAGTATCGACGAGTGTACAGGAACGGAAGTGACGTGATCTCCCCTCTCCGCGCAAGCGTGGTCTATCCAATAAAATCACTTTTACTTCAAGCGTACTGTGTGTCAGACATTTTTTGATTTCGCTCGTTCGCTAATTACTGATTCTTTCAGATATTAAAGCAAACTTCACTTACCTGGCTGCCTCGTGTTTCTCACTTCGGTGTAGGGTGTGTTCCCACATCGCGACTGTCGCTCCACTGGGCATGTTTGGTGTTTTGCATTCTCCTATGTCTTTTTCACCATAATGTTCATGCTTGGTCTTGTATTTCTTGATATTGTTGCCTAATTTGTGCTTGTTTTTCAGGCTCGTTTTGGCTCAGTGGTGGCAGCCATCTTGGTTGTTTACTCTGCTGCCGACTGCTTGGGCGTACCTTTCTTGCTGCAGGGGTGTTTCCATTTTCTCTGCAGGGTTTTTATTTTCTGTGTGTTTACGTAGTTTTTACATTTCACTTTGTTTAGTGTGTTACAGCCTTTGTGTGCATGACCCGGCAGTTTTGCTGTATATGCAAGGTGCAGAAGTCTGCCAAGGATCCCCACCCTTGGTGTCCAGACTGCACTACTGTAGCCTGTTCTCTTGCTGAGCGCTGTCATTTTTGTACACCTCCGCCTAGAAGAAACGATTGTCGCGGCGTAAGAGGAAGATGTCTTCACCTGCCTTCTCGTTGGGCTCCAGATCTTCTCTTCCACGGACGCCAGACGGACGCTGCTCTCGTTTAGCTGATCAGAAGTCTACACCTGCGCCGAGTAGGCTCACGCCTGACGCCCAGCACCCGTCTGACGCCTTTGTGGAATTATCTCATCCGGAGGTACAGAAGCTTTTAAGGACGCTTCTTTTAGCTGCAGCAGTTGAAGCACAAGCAAGCGGCGTTCCAGCGCCGAGCGCTGTCCCAACACCAACTTCTGAGTTGCCTAGTGCAGTTCCAGTGCCGACGGCCGTGGCACCTAGTTCTGATGTTGCTGGATTGGTGCATCAACCAGTGCCTCCCCTGACGCTGACGCCAACGCCAATGCCAACGCCGTTGTTAGACTACCGTATCCCCAGGATCTTCAGCGTTATTGGAAGAGCGTTCCCGGCGCCAGGAAGCCGAGCGCTCCCGTCGTTCTAAGCGGTCTCACTCTAGGTCTCCTCGACAGTACCATTGTTCTTGAAGTCCCCGGCTCGCCTGTCTGATTCCAGGTCTCACTCTCCCAGACGTCCAAATGATAGGGAGAGGCGTTCAAGGTCGCCAACTCGTGGGAGGCGCTACCGTCGTCCCGTTCGAGGTCGCCACCTTTTCGCCGCTTGCCGCGACGACCACGTTCCCCTACAGTTACCTTTAGTGCTGTTTCTCAACTGTCATCTGAGCGCGCAACGCCTGCTGCTTCTGGCCAACGGTCTAATGCTACTACCGTGTCCTGGGAGGACACTGAAGAGCACTATTTTCTCCCGATTATAATGAAGAGATGTTACAAGACGAAGATGATGGCGGTACTTATCTCCCCTTATCTGCTGTATTTGACTAAATTGCCGACAGACTTCCGGATTGTCCTTCTCCCTCTTCAGGTTTTGACGACCCGAGAGCTATTAGGACTTCTCCCGAGTAACTCCTCCCGCCTCACCTGATGGTGGCCGATGTGGTGGCCTCTTTGGATGCCGACTTAGCTAAACTGTCTCTCAAATCTACTATTAAGGCTCCTAAGTCGCGCAAAGGGGACTACAAGATACAAAGCCTGGATTTCGCAGATGGAGGCGCTGCTCATGATGAATCCCTCAAATGTTTATCAGGTTCTCCACAGTCTTCTTTCCGAGTGCAGGACTCTAAGATGTTGGCTATTGACGCAGAGCTCCAGAGGATGTTGAAGCCTCTGCAACTTGGCTGCAGCTTGGGACTTAACTGAAGATGATGCGTTGAGGACAGAGCACCTTACCACCGTGTTCCAATGGCAGGGTAAGGTGTTACATGTATGATATACTGGCACACCTTCGGACGGCGGTGGCCAGGAGGAGTTCAAAAGAAAGCTGTTGAGAGCCCCTTTCGCGTCCCCTTTCCTCCTTGATGACAGGATTCCGGAGGTTTATAAGGAACATGCAGAGCTTACTAATACGGAGGTGTCCCTGTCTACTTTCGGAGCTCTGAGTTCGGCCTTTCGTGGCAAGTCGTCTACAAGGGGTAGAGGGAAGCGCTGTTACGTCCCAAGAAGAGACTCTGTTCATAGCACCTTCGGCAGAGGACGTGGTCCTGGCAGGTCTGACCCTGACTTTCAGCGCCGTCAGCGGGACCGTCCCTGGGAGCCTCCTTCGACGCCTGGCAGGGGTAGGGGGAAGTGCCCCTACTCAGGTCGCTGAAGCTTGGAACCAACACAACTGGGACCTCCCGCCCCAGCCGTGCCGGTTCATCCTACTCCAGTAGGCATGAGACTGGGGATCTTCTGGCCCAATTGGACAGTCCTAGAAGATCCGTTTGTGACCAACATTCTCAGGGCCGATTACAAGCTGCCAATCGCCATGTCGCCGCCTCTGACTACTACGCCCCAGTCACGCGTGTATGCTCCAGGCCAACAGTCACTGCTAGCAGACAGCATTCAGACTCTGTTAGACAAAGAAGCTATAGAGACAGTGCTAGACCCCCAACAGTCCCCGGGGTCCTACTCACCCATCTTCCTGGTTCCCAAGAAAGACTCAGCGAAGATGTGCACGATTCACAACATGGCAGTTTTCAACCACCTTTACCTTTCGGAGTCGCCTCACTTCCGGATGGTGTCCCTGGAACAGCTTCGTGCCAAGCTTGCGCCCAGGGTCTGGCTGGCCAGCCTCGACCTTCAGGATGCCTACCTGCATGTGCCCATTTACCATCGTCACAGGAATTACCTGAGGTTTATTTGTCAATGGGTCCCACTACCAGTGGAAAGTGCTTCCGTTTGGAATTTCCACGGCCCCGTGGCCCTAGCTGATCACCCGGTTTCTGCATCTCAGGGGCATCAGTTTTGACCCTTATATAAATGACTGTCTCATGAACCACCTCGACCCTCAGTAGCTTCGCAAACAGATGGACTTTGCCAATCGTCTCCTAGAGCAACTGGGGTGGATTATCAACTCAGACAAGTCCCACCTGGAGCCGACCCAGGAACTGATGTTTATAGGAGGCTTGTTCCTGACTCACTGCGACCTTGTCAGGATTCCACAGGATCGCTGGAGAAAATTGTCAGTTTCGCCAGCCGAGGTCTGTCCCAGCCGCTCACGCTCAGGGAGTGGCAGTCCCTCTTAGGTCTCCTCACCTCAGCCCAGGACTTAACGCTCAGAGGTCGTCTGATGCTCCGGCCGTTACAGCGCTTCCTCTTGCCTTACATCCAAGTGGACAACCCCCAGTCGAGGTTCCTTCTGCCTCTGCATCTCCATGCTTACCTCCGCTGGTGGACTGTAGAGTCGAATGTCTGCGTAGGAGTCTCCTTGACAAGTTTTTTCATGATCACGAACTTTTCATAGACGCGTCTCTTCAGGGTTGGGGTGCACACCTCAACGACCAGACCACCTCGGGGCTGTGGTCCGACGCCGAGCTAGGCTGGCGTATCAACAACTTGGAGCTCCAAGCAGTCATTTTAGCTGTTCGACACTGGATGCCTCTGCTCCTGATATCGTCGGACAATTCTGCGGTGGTGTGGTTGATTCGCAACCAGGGAACGACCAGGTCCCAAGCAGTTGTTGGAGCAGACCTTCCTGTTGGCCAGTCTCCTGGACAACAATGGCATCACAGCCAGAGCCCGGCACATCCCAGGGTGCAAGAACGTCCTAGCAGACGCTCTCTCAAGGCCAGGCAAGCCGTCGCCAACAGAGTGGATGCTACATCCAGAAGCTTTCAACCTTCTATGTCACAGTCACGGCCGCCCTCTGATCGACCTGTTTGCGACTCGGTTCAACAAACAGCTTCCGTTGTACGTGTCTCCGATTCCAGATCTGGCGGCATGGGCAGTCGATGCCATGTCCTTGTCGTGGGAGGGTCTGGACGCATACGCCATTCCACCACCAGTTTTTCTGCCAGCAGTGATAGCAAAGATCAAGCAGACAGAGACGATTCATCTGCTTTTGGTCGCACCTTGGTGGCCAACCAGAACCTCTTTCCCAGATCTGCGCTGTCTCGCTGAAAGAAGTCTGCAACAGTTGCCAGAGTGGCTTCACCTACTCAGGCATCCTCACAGTCAACAGCTGCATCCCGATCCGTCTCGATTTCATCTGTACGGCTGGATCATCTGCAAAAGGCACTGAAGGCCAAGGGCTTCTCCACGGGTGTAGCCAAGGTTATTGCTTGTGCTCATCGAGTCTCCACTAGATCACTCTATGATGATAAGTGGACTTCATTTGAGAAGTTTTGTGCACAGAAGTCCAAGGACCAGTTGAAAGCTTCTCCCCAGTTTATAGCAGAGTTCCTTCTTTTCCTTCGGAAGTCCCGGCATCTCAAGGGCAACACTATCAGAACTTATTTATCGCCTCTTAACATTGTTTTGGCGGTCAAGTGCGATAAAAAGATTTCCAAGGTGCCATAGCTCATCGCCGTACTCAAAGCCTTCAAGCTGGAGGACCAGAAGGCCAAGTTTCGTCCTCCTGCTTGGGACCTTAACATCGTTCTATGGCATCTAAGAGGTCCACCTTATGAGCCTTTGGACACTGCTTCATTCGAGAATCTCTCCAGGAAGACAGCGTTTCTCTTGGCCTTGGCCACAGTGGCTAGAGTCAGCAAGATCCACGCTTTGGATGTCACCAGGGTGTGTTTTGAGCAGTCACGACATGGGCTTGTTCATTTGGGACTGCTTTGGGATTTCTTGGCTAAGAACCAGCTGCCAGGACAACCGGACTGAATGTTTTCCATTCCTCCATTGTCTTCCATTTTAGGACCCCATGAAGCTGAGGAACAGCTGCTTTGTCCTGTGAGGGCTCTTAAGATGTATATTGCCAAATCATCATCCAGGAGGCTGTCTCGTAAGAGACTGTTCATCCCGTTTTCCTTTGTGGCCAAAGGTGAAGTTTACTAGGAATACTATTGCGCTCTGGCTACGTACGACCATCCTGGCTGCTTACGATGCACTAGATCTGCCTCATCCTACAGCCAATAACCCGCACGAGATTAGGGCCCTGGCGTCCACCATGGCTCTCCATAGGTACTGCACCGTTCCAGCCATCATGGAGGGATGCTTCTGGAAGTTCTCTACTGTCTTCGCTAGGCACTACCTGCGGGATTTGGCCGTCGAGGATGTTGAAGGCCTGCAATCCTTTGGTCCACTGGTGGTTGCCTAGCAACTCACCCGATCTACCGCCCATTAGGTAACTACTTCTCCTTACCTTCTGGTCTTAAGGATAACTTACGCCCTGGGTGTACTGTTTTCCTTAGGGTTTCCTTGGGTCACTATCTGTTTCTTGTTCAGGGCTTCCTGCAACAGTCTGCTGATTCAGTTAGTTTCCTTGGTTTCCCTTGCATGTGGTCTTGTTTTTCTTCACGGGACGGTCCTCTGGAGCCCGACACCGTTGTCCTACTGTCAATCCATATGCATAAGACCTATGGTAAGGTAAGTTAAAATTTATTAAAATCTAAATATTTTAGATAATTAAATACTTACCTTACCATAGGGCAGTAACTCCCTCCCAACGCTGGATGCTCCTTCCCTCTCTGGGCTCTTCGGACCAGGTCAGTAAAAGTGATTTTTTGGATAGACCGCGCTTGCGCCGAGAGGGGAGATCACGTCACTTCCGTTCCTGTACACTCGGCGATACTTGAGGCAGCCATTCTAGAGATGGCGAATCAACGACTGTCTGATCTCTTTTAAGTGGCGCTTGAGGTAATATGCATAAGACCTACGGTGAGGTAAGTATTTAAATATCTAAAATATTTAGATTTTAATAATATGTTGCTGCTGACCAATATGCAGAATTCTAAACTGTTATCATGGCCCATGTTTTTTCCCTGTTTTACAGTGCAGGTATTAAGACCGTGATCAACCTACAGATGCCTGGAGAACATGCATCTTGTGGGGAGGGGCTGGATAAGAGTGGCTTCTCCTACGACCCTCAGCAACTCATGGAGAAAGGAAGTAAGTTACTTGTACAGCCCCTGTCTTGATATTATCGTGTAGTTACTGAGTCCACATAGTAATCTCCATGGTGAGACAGTTGTAACTCCCATACTTTGTCATAGAGACTTCAGACAACGAGGAGCTAAAATCATTTGTGGACAGCACCAGAACCATCTTGGTTCTGGAGCCAGGACCTGTGCTGGTTGTAAGAAGCAACTGACTAGATCAGGTGTCAGAAGAACAGCCAAGCCCAACAGATGAAAAGAGCAATATGCAGGCATCTTGAAGGAATGTTTTCCATCTGAACATTGATTTGCTGTGAAGCCAATGATTGTTGTAAGAGCCAATTATCGGAATTGGTTAGTCAAACTTGGTGACTTGGTTGATTTTGAGATGTCTTGATTGCATAAGTTGATGCTTTTGATGTCAGTCACTGGATTGTCTGTTAAGGACTTGACTGTTGACTGAGTGTCCTTAATAGCTATCATTGCTATATGGCTGAAACAATGCTGATGCGCTGTAAACCATTCAGCTTCAACTTCAACCTTAATAGACCCGTGAAGGTCCGGGTTAGAATGAACCTTCAGTAACCCATGCTTGTCATAAGAGGCAACTAACGGGATCGGGTGGACAGGCTTGCTGGTTTGGTTGACACATGTCATCTGTTCCCATTTGCGCAGACCGATGCTCATGCTGTTGATCACTGGATTGTCTGGTGCAAACTCGATTATTTACAGACCGGCGCCATATAGCTGGAATATTGCTGAGTGCGGCGTAAAACTAAACTCACTCACTCAACCTTAATAGCTGGGATATTGCTGAGTGCTCTGATGTCAAACCATCATCCAGCTCTAATTCTAATTGTACACAAGTGAATAGAATGTCTTTATTTTTCAGTTTTCTTCTACAATTTTGGATGGTGAGTATGTTCAGGAATTGTGTTATAAATGTTTTCATTGTGAGTTTTTGCCGTATAGTTTGAAACAACTCAAGATAAAAACCTTTTGCTTCCCATCCTATTTATTGGGTGTTTTCTGGTTACTGTCATACACATGCTGTTTCACCAGAGTGGTACATCACTTAAGGATTTCATTTGACATCAAGTTGACATGCTGTGAAATAACTAATTAAAGTAAGGCCAGAAATGCTTGGAAAATGCTTTTTGACTTCAATAACAATATGATGAATTTGACACAAGATAAAAGCACATATATGATACATGTACGACTCTACCTAGTTGAGATGAAAAGCTCAGATGAAAAAAATGCACTTGAGGGGTGACTTCACAGGAGGAAATTTTGATGTTTTAACAACATTCAGAAATATTCTAATTACAAATGTAGTTTTGAAATACAGACTATAATTATTCAGCCTCAAATAATTAAATTACATAAATGATTGTAAAGGGTTTTGTGTTTTTGAACATCTATATGTGAAAAAGATGGAACTGTTGTAGTAGTTAAATTCAAAATAATTATTCAAATCGCATAGATAATCTTGTTCACCCATAGACGTTTCACTTCGTGTATGAGCATTGAACTGGCAACATGCGACTTGTTATCTCTGCAGAACAATTAATTTCAAGTTTATACCAGTATATCATCCTGGAGAAACGAAGGGGGAACCTCTCGTCAGCTATGACAGGGTTTACTATAGAATGTGTAAAGCCCTTAATTTGACTTATAGTCAGGTTTACAGAGTTGTAAACAAATCAGTTACCTCAGGGGTCATGTCAAAATCAAAACCAGGTAGGAAACACAAACTGGATAGCTTTGATAAGGGTTTCATACGCCATGCAGTTTATAAACTGTATGAACGCAAATTCCCACCGACGTGTGCTAAAATACAAGATGAGATCAAAGATAAATAAATGTCCTGTTGTAATTCCACTAGAGGCCTCCACCAGCAGTGATACTGACACTTGATATTTTGAGACGGTCCCTGACATGCACTGCTTGTGCGTTACATAACGCTGTCACCCTGTCTGCCAGGTGGGTCACAGTATAGTTTGTTTCTTAGAAGTGTTTCTACCATGGATTTTTTTCTAAGTTTTCTGATATTTTACGAGTAATCATTATGATTAGGGAATGGTACATTGTGATTACTCATATGCCATATTAGGTCAAGGTGGTATGAATGATTATATGAGTTTTGAATATGAAATATCAACCATTGTCAAATAACTTCTTTGAGAGGCATTTTAGAATAGTTGCCAAAAAAGCATTTTCCAAGCATTTCTGGCCTTACTTTAGACCAAATTCACTCAATGAAAGTAGATGGTATAAAATGCTACATTATTACCCAAGTTGGCTAGGATACACAGGTGATTATTTTTGTGATAATCGCACATGTGCTTTTCAGTGATTCTCAACGTTGATTGGTCAGCTAAGCAGAGAAGAAATATGATTGGTTGACGGAACTACTTTTCATGATCCAAGTTCATTGACAACTTTTAACGTTTCATTGATAATTAGAACGTGCTGTACTCACACATTCCGAGATTTAAAAAAGATAACATAAAGGTTAAAGAATATGAATACTGTTTTTTTATTAGACATCATTATTTTGCAGTAAAATTGTGTTATAAATAGTAGCCTTTTTAAAATAAATAACCTTAAAAAACCCAACAACAATTGTTTGAATTGTTTGTAAACAAACATGGATGCCATTAGGCTAACCCCGATCAACGTCAATGACCTAGTTAAAGTTGACGGTGACCTAATAGGAAGACTGATAAGAATATTACAGTCCTTGAACTCCTACGACCTGTTTGTTGATAGAACTGAATTCCGGGAAATAGAATTAGCAAGATACTGAGTAAAGGTGTTACCTTAAGTGTCACAAGTGAGTCGATCTGCCACGGCGTCCATGCCATCGAACCAGAAAACAGCTTCTATCTTATCGGAATCAGTGCTAAATGAATTATTTTTCCTTATCCTGACTCATGCTCTTTTGCTTGTCTTCTTCTTCTTGCGAACATAGTGGAACACTTGTATCTCCTTAATTGAAGCTCCCTTCAATGTAAAATCACTAATTGGTACTCACCAAGAGTTGCCTCCCTTTGCCGCTAGAGCGGGAACAGGTGTCGCCACCCTCTGGCCACATGCTTCACTCTCTCCTTCTTCGCCCAGTGAGCAGGATGTGAGAGCGCCTGTGTCTCCTTACACACTATATCCTTTGGTTTTCTTAGTTAGTTTACCTCTTATAGTTTACTATAAAGGTATAGCTAGTATCCTTCATTAATTTGCATTGATAATTAATCGTATTTCTCCTGTTTATTCACGTGAGTTCGTGATTGTTCAGCTAGTATTACGTTGATGAAAATCTGTACTATTTGTAGATTACGTTTTTCCGCGGCTGACCCGCATGTAGTATGCCCTAGTTGTTCTACGCCTTGTGCGTTTGATTCACGTTGCAGTTACTGCATTAATTTAACTAATTCTGCCTTTAATAAATACCATCTTTGCGTCTTGAGACGTGCTGCAGATAGGTCACGCAAACTAGGAGTAGACATGGCGATACATCGGATTTCCCATCCAGTCAGCCGCTGTCGATCGACCCCCTCCCGTCTGGTGTTCTTCTAGAGACCCCATCGGAAGAGGGACGTGGGATGCAGTCCGTCACCTCTAAGAAGCGACCGGCCTCCCCAGACATCCCGTTATCGCAGATAAAGTCCAAGAGGGCCTCAGCGTCTTCTCAAGCGCAGAACCGTACCCCCAGAACGCGTCATCCTCAAAGGAAATCTCTGAAGTCGTCAAGAACCTTCTCAGCGAGATCGTTCCAGCCACAGAATTGGGCCTCTCGATGACCAGCCGATCATCATCCCGACATACATACAAGAAGCGACCGGTGACAGCTACAGTGACTTCAGCAGAGATCACCATGCAGCCTGATGCCTCTACACTGATGCCAGACGACATCCCTGAGGGCCCCACCGCTAACATCGCAGAGAGGGCACCGTCTACGCCGTCGCAGATCATCCCAGGCGATCTAATGAGGCAAATCATGATTATGATGGAGGCCACTACAGACTGGAGAAGCAGCCAACCCAGGGTCGAGGCCAGCGAAGGCTCCAGCGTGAACAGCACCCCAGAGGCACCCCCGTCAGCGTAGCAGCCCGCGGCGATGCCACCTTCGCGAAGGAAGTCACAGACCACCTCGACGAAGGACCCAGATGTACAGCCTTCGCGAAGGCCTTCGCGAAGGCGGGATAGATCATCACCTTCTTCGGCGTCATCCTCAGATACGGACTCAGATCACCAGACCTCACGGAAGCCTTCGCGAAGGTCATATCACCGTTCCCCAGGACCGGACGCAGAAGGACGCCTGAACCCAGATCGTCATCATCTAGAAAGACATCGAGGGACTACACAAGAGCTTCGCGAAGCTATCAACGTTCCCCTCACAGGTCTCCAAGAAGGTCAACCTATAGACGTAGATCACCAAGACGATCTCCTCGCCGTTCACCACGCCGATCTCCGCGTACATCACCACGTTGATCACCACACAGGTCTGCACACAAGCCTACAACCAGGTCTCCACAAGCGTCACCCGATATAGAGATAGAACCACACAGTCCAACATCAGAAGAGCACCAACCTCTCATCAATGATGATGGAATAGAAGATGATGGAGGAATTATTTTCTCAGATGCAGAAATAAGATATTGGATGGTAAACAACCTAGATCTCTCATCACCTTCTAAGAGTGACAATCCGGCGCAGACATACCTGATGAAAGAAGACGACGCAGATGCTGTCACACTACCCCCGATCGACCCGATTGCTGCGGTACCACAGAATCTAGACACAGCATTCCATAAAAGCCCGCGAAAGTTCAGACACCACATCTGCCAAACTTTCCACGCCAAGAAGTTCTCCGCATAACATGGACCCCTTCTTCAAGGCTCAAGACATCGATGAGAACTACAAGCTGATCAGCGATGTCAAGAATAAGAACTACAAGATTGATGATCGCAAATTGGTTCAGATAGAAACCATGACGAGGCGTATGTTCTTTGGTCTAAATAGATCTAGAGCGATCAATGAGACACTTATCACCAGATTTAAGTAACACGACCTCTGAAGATGATAGAATGATTTACTTTCGGCCCTACTTATGCAAAGAAGGACCAGCAGTTCTTAACGGACCACCTCACATCTGTCTCAGCAGCACTGACCTTAGCTGCGTCGTCAAGGCCTCCTCGCTTCCTGCAGCTGGGGTGAGAACTTTACAGCTCCACTATATACAGCCCCGTGGTCTTCCCCATCCATCTTTGACGGAGGAATAGACAAAGTCTCCAAGGAAGTCACTAAGGATTCCAGAGAAGTCCTGATGATTAAATCGATGGACACACTAGCCAGTGTCATCCGACAGACTTCACAAAGATACTCAGGGAGATCTAAATTCGCGGGTCTACAGAGAGCACTGAGACAGGAAGATAGCCAGCTCCAGGGGAAAAGATTCTTTTAAGGTAAGCCCATATGGCAACTATAGAGGAGGGTCAGGAAGAGGCAGGACACCCAGAGGTTCCCGCAACTATAAGCGGCTGAAAGACAGGTTCGGAGCGACTGGAGTCTTCCACCCCAGCCGTTCCAGTACAACCGTCACAAGTGGGTGGCGCCTTCAACTACACTGGGAAAACTGGGGAATGTTACAAGACCCTTATGTCTCCAACATTCTTCAACCGCAGTTTCGTATCCCACTACAGGCCAAGCCTCCGCTGACAGTCAACCCTCACAAGTTAGGCTTACAGAGCATCAACTACCAAAGTTAAGAGAGGCTGTTACATCACTCCTAACCAAGCAGGCCATAGGAGTAATAGATCAAGGAAACATCGAACCAGGTTTCTACTCCCCAGTTTTCCTAGTACCCAAGAAAAACTCCAAGGAGAAATACAGACTCATTTACAACATGAGCTTCTTCAACAGAATTATCTCGCCAAACCACGAGGGTTTAGCATGATACATCTACCTCAGTTACGGCAGTTGATTAAGCCCCATGGACTATATGGGCAGTATAGATCTACAGGATGCATATCTGCACATCCCAATACATCCCGAATCCAGGAAATACCTACGGTTTACACTAGGCGGGCTACATTACCAGTGGAAAGTACTCCCATTGAATATCATCAGCCCCTGGCTATTCCGCGAGGATAGCGAAACCGATTATCACCTATCTACATCGTCAAAGGGGCTCGCAGTCGCGTTTTACCTCGACGACGGGATACAAGTAGATCAAGATCCACAGCGTCTCAAACTACAGTTAAACTACATCATAAAGCTACTAACACAGCTAGGATGGTTAGTAAACTTACTCAAGTCGGACCTAGTACCATCGCCAAGATCTGCAGTTCCTAGGCATTCGATTTATCACGAATCTCACCCGTATCGTCGTACCAGAAGACCGTTGGCTCAAGATCCAACAGACCATTCCACCAGCTCTACTCTCTCCGCTACCGCCCGACAATGGCAGAGTCTGTTAGGTCTTCTCACATCAGCCCAAGACATGACAGTCAGAGGCAGATTACAGTTCACGTCCCTTACAGGTCTTCATCAACACACATCTCGGCGACCTACAACCATTCAGTCTACGAAACATCTCAGACCTCATCTACTATGGTGGACCAAGGAATCGAATGTCTGCAAAGGGATTTGTTTAGCAGAGCAGGAATTCAAAACCCATCTATATGTAGGCGAGCGTCGGCTCCAAGGTTGGGGAGCTCATCTGCGCCAACCCGGACGACATCAGGGTTATGGAATCAGCAAGAAAGCAAGCTCCATATAAATATGTTAGAGATGAAAGCTGTAATCAGCGCCATACTGCATTGGAGCAACATTCTACAGAATGCGCACCTAATGATTCATACCGACAACTTCGACAGTGGCGTTCTATGTGAACAGGCAAGGCTCAAGCGAGATCACTGAACCTTTTGACTTTAACCTTTCAACTGTTGAATTAATCCAAGATCTAAATCTACATGTCAGAGCATGCCACATTCCGGAGCCAGGAATATACTAGCAGGGCACACTCTCGGCCACATCTACCGTCGCCCGACAGAATGGATGCTCAATACAGAAATCTTTACACAGATAATCAAGCAAATAGGGCCCGCTAGTAGATCTATTAAGCCACAAGATTCAACAATCAGCTACCGACATTACGTGTCACCAGTCCCAGACCCACAAGCATGGGCAGCGGACGCTCTAAGCATATCCTGGGAAGGCCTCAATGCGTCGCTGGCGTTTCCGCCGCCAGCAATAATACCTCAAGTGTTACAGAAAATCAGACAAACACAGAGCACCACAACTCACTTTGGTGGCCCTACTGGCCGGCCAGAGCGTGGTTTCCCATTCTAATACAAAAGAAATCGGTCAACCGGCACTAGAGCTACCCAAAGCTCAAATCTATTAATACATCCACACACCAAACAGGTGCACAGAAACCCAGAAGTATTCAAACTTCGCGTATGGACTGTATTAAAATGTGTTTAAACAAGAGAGGATATTCTGCCAGAGGTGACAAAAGCGGTCACGCTTGCCTACGATATTCTACTCGCGTGGCAATGCGGCGACAAGTGGCTCAGTTTGAAAATTGCGCAGCAAACAAAGGGATTTACAGCGAGGAGATGCTACGCATCCACAAGTGGCAGATTATTTGTGTTACCTACGGCAAAACAAACATTTAAAAGGCTCGACATTGTCAACATATCTTGCCGCGCTTAGTTCTGTGATTTCTATGAGAACGGGTGTCAAATTGACTAAAACTCCAGAGTTACTGGCCTTACTACGTGCTTTCCGATTGGAGGACCAAAAGCGGAAGTTCCACGCCCCAGCTTGGGATCTGAATGTAGTGTTACAACACCTCACAAGTGAGGATTATGAACCATTGGAATCGACAACCTTTGAATTTCTCTCACAGAAAACGATTTTCCTGTTATCTCTAGCCACGGCAGCCAGAATGTCTGAAATTCACGCTCTAGATTATGAGAGGATACAGTTTGATGACAATCAAAACACAGTGCACCTGGGATTAAGATGGGATTTCATCGCCAAAAATCAACTACCAGGCCAACCAGACAGGTTATTTCACGTCCCTGCACTGTCCTCGATTCTCGGATCTCAAGATACACTGGACTTATCGCTATGCCCAGTCGAGCTCTCAAAATCTATTTCTGACGTTCCAAAACAAAGGCGAAGATTTCTCAAAGATTGTTCATCCCTTATCGGCAACAAATCAGACAGAAGTCTCTCGTACCACCATATCTATATGGATAAGGACTGTCATTCTAAGCGCCTACAAGGCAGCAGGACTGGACCCTCCAACAGCATCAAATCCCCATGAAATCAGGGCATTGGCTTCCACTCTCGCCCTACACGGTAACTGTTCATTGAATACAATTATGGAAGGATGCTTCTGGAAATCTAACATGGTGTTTGCTAATCACTATCTGAGAGATATCACCACCGAGGACGTCTCTGGCATTCACCATTTCGGTCCTTTGGTCCTCGCTCAGCAACTGACAGTCCCTCGTAGGCGTTAACATTTACTCCCACGAGATTATTATGTATATGATACATACCTTATCTAGCTTATAACTCTACGGAGTTCTAGGGCTATGTATATACTTAGCTTAGGTTTACTCAACCTTAGGCTCATACTGATGTTTATGTTCAGTTGTACAGCTTCTCTATAAGAGTCGCTTATATCTATGTATAATATCTTAGTATATCAGTATATTAGTATTGTAATACCCCAGTTATGGCAATATATAACCCATGGCTTATAATAGAGGAAATATCCTAAGTCAATGCCTTTATGAAGTTCCCGTAGGGGTTATTACAGTTATATCTATATAAATCACTAATTATAAATCCAAAGTATTCTGTTTTTCCCACCTCCGCTCCGGAGGATTCTACAAGCAAAAGAGCATGAGTCAGGATAAGGAAAAATATGTAATTTTTAGAGTAAAATTGATATTTTATACTTATCCTGACTCATGAAAAACCCTCCATCCTCCCACATAACACTTTGGATTTCCCTGTAAATTCAAGTGTTGGGCTCATAAAATCAGGAGAGAGTGAAGCATGAGGCCAGAGGGTGGCGACACCTGTTCAGCTAGCGGCAAAGGGAGAGCAACTCTTGGTGAGTACCAATTAGTGATTTTACATTGAAGGGGCTTCAATTAAGGAGATACAAGTGTTCCACTATGTTAGCAAGAAGAAGAAGACAAGCAAAGAGCATGAGTCAGGATAAGTATAAAATATCAATTTTACTCTAAAAATTACATTTACTTTTAACCGTTGACTTTCCCCAATTGACAGTTTTGCCAAACCTACACCGTCACATGTCAGTCGTGAATGAACAATGTTCCGGTGCACTGACTTGATCAAATAACGTTTTAGCTGGTATTATGTTCAATGTTGCATTTAAAAGATCAATTTTATCATATTAACAAATGTTAATAAATTATTCCACAAAAATATTTTGTTGTAGTTTAAAGCGATTTTACGAGGTACTATTTTCCATAGCGTAGTTATGTTATTACCGCTGGAGTTTAATACGCGCAGGAATACGAATCAGCTGTTTGAGGTCACAAGTCTGTCTCCGGGTGTTTTTTTTTGTGGTTCTTCTTTTTAAATTACATTATTGGTAATAAATAGAATAACCAACTTGGTACCAGTGATTACAGGAAATATGCCCTCGTTAAAATAATGTTCAGTGCCTCGCCAAGGCTCGGCACTGTGAACATTATTTCAACTCGAAGCATATTTCCCGTAATCACTTGTACCTCGTTGGTTATTCTCGAAATAGCTATGGATTGTGCTGTTTATTTTACAGACTCTGCCCTGTTATTTGTTTCAGGAATGACTATGGAGTTGCCTCGATGAGCACCCTCCTGGACATTGCTAAAGTGATGCAGTTTGGTCTGTCTGAGGGCAAGATTGCTATCCATTGCCATGCTGGTCTTGGTAAGTAAGTCATTTCCTGGATTTCAGACCCGAGTCTCTGCTGAAAGAATGGGACAAATATGGTACCTGCAGTGAGTGAGAGTGAGTGAGTGAGAGAGAGTGAGTGAGTGAGTGAGTGAGTGAGTGAGTGAGGGTGAGTGAGTGAGTGAGTGAGTGAGTGGCTTCTTTTAGCATTATTCCAGCAACATCACAGCGGGGAGGACATCAGAAATTGGCTTCTCACATTTTATTCGTGGGGAATCGAACCCAAGTTTTCAGCATGACAAGCAAACGCTTTAACGACTAGTCTCACGTATCACCCTGGTACCTGCAGAAAGTTATTGCTTAACATTGTTGAGAATGAAATACTGTGTCTGAAAAGACATTTCTGTCATAGAGGCGCGGGTTAGGGGTTAGATAGAACTGAATGGTACTGAGGACAGACCTGATTATTATCAGGGGGTTATTAAAATGAACTCCATCCGTGCGTGTGTCCGTCCATGCACATTCTTCTTTTCCGGAGCAGAACTTTAAAACCGTTCATTATTTCTTCACCAAACTTGGCACATAGATAGATCTGGTGGTGTACTGGTGACTTTTGGTAGTTTTGGAATTCTGAATAAAATATATTTTTGCGTTTCCATGGGAACAAGTTTGACTTTTACTGAAATAGGTGGTAGTGTTCTTTTTGGGAGCAGAACTTTAAAACCATTCAATATTTCTTCACCAAGCTTGGCACATAGATAGATCTGGTGGTGTACTGGTGCCTTTTGGTTGTTTTGGAATTCTGAATAAAATAGTTTTTGCGTTTCCATGGCAACAAGTTTGACTTTGACTGAATTTGGTGGTAGTGCTCCTTTCTGAAGCAGAACTTAAAAAACCTTTCAATACTCTCCTTCCACTTTGCTATATACATGCCAAAACATTTGACATAATCATAACTAGTAGATATGTTCATGAAGAGTATTTTGGTATTGCGGTTATATTGATGACTTTGTCTTCTTGTTGACTGTTACTATGGTTGCATGGATGTGTTTGTGCAGGGTAGGACACAACTAATAATTTCATGTTACCATGGTTACAAGACATTTTGTTTGTGCAGGTAGGACAGGACTGATGATTGCGTGTTACCTGGTTTTCACCAACAGAGAGCTGTCGAGCGATGCTGTCCAGTATGTTCGATCCCGGAGGTACTGTAGTCATTGTAGACACTTGTTTCCCACGAGGGACAGAATAGATCTTCAGCACACCTTACTAAAGACATCAGTGCTGACAGCTTGCCCAATGACTTGGAGTGTGTTCATGCTGTCAACCACTTGCCTGATCCCCTTTAATTATGGGCTGTTATGATATATTTGTAATTTAACTCTTGTGGACTAAATACCTCCTAATTAAAAAAACAAAAACTAGAGGAAAATTCGAACATTGAATATAATAATGACTTTTTTCTTAATTTGCCTACCATAGGCACTTAGTTTAGACTCCAGCTCCTCAGCATACCCACACAACGTGAGCTGGCTCACTGTGCTGTATGAAGCCTGTAGGTGTCCATTGTTGGTCATGGTATGAACAACTGATTTGCAGTGTGTCTGAGATGATTATTACATAGTGGTGGTCCGATTAATTGAAATAATCGAAGATTGGTCGCAGTGACTAAACGACCAAGCAATCGATCATGCTTTCTCGTAATTGAACACAAACAATTCTTGAACACTTGTTTTCATAAACAATATTTTTCACAAGGTTGGTTTTGTCTGTTACATTTCATAAGCACTACAAGCTCATTTCAAGTCATGATTGAATTTATCTTAAAGACTCCGAGAAATGTATGTTCATGACATACTAGTCATCCTTTAAAGATGTGAAATTTTGCCAAAACACCCAAAAGAACTACATGTTTATTCCTTATTTTTTTGTGCATTAACAAATTTCATTAATGACGCTAACCAATTTTTTTCGATGATTGATCGGTTGTAATAAACCAATCATCAATTATGAGATTTTAACCAATTCCCAACACTGATTATTACTACAGCCACTGAGCCAGTGTACTGTGTCTGTCTGTCACATGGCATCTCAGTGGGCTAGCACTGTGAGACCCGCATTTGTTTTGACTTGAGCAAGGTGCTGCTGGTGCATATCACTATAGAAGTGAACAAATCTTGACATTAAACCTCTCACATATTCCCTGATATTATTTGATATTCTTCTTCTTTGATATTAGCTGACAGTTGACACCCACAAGTTTGAAGAAAATAGAAGCATCATCTGTAGGTGCTGTTTTCAATGTTTTGTTTTCACATTCTGATCTCTCCAACAGACCCAACTCAATACAGACTGGGGAACAAGTCCGGACTGTTGCTGAATTTGAAGAGTACCTGAAGCCTTTCAGGATCATCTTCGCATCTAAGTAAACGTTTAATCCACTCATGACTTCATCTTCAGTTCTGTTCATGCTGTATTTGATTCATCATTGGGATACTTTATTCCCCGGCTTGTAATGCAGGGGATATAGTTGACACCTCACCTGTCCGTCCGTCTGTTCGTCCATAATCATTTTGTTTCGGACCATAACTCAAAAACATTCAATAGTTTTCAAGCAAAACTTGGTAAATATATCAAACAGAACCTAAAGTGGTGCCTTTTGCTATTTGCAGATTTTTGTCATTTATATTTTTTCTTGGTTTCCATGGAAATGATTTGGACTTAGTCTAAAAAAAAATCAAGTAGGACTTTAAGTAATTGTCAGATGATTTGTTCTTTTCAAATTTGTGGGGTTGGGGATATGTCTCATGACTCTTGTTTACTATGGTCAAACTGTGATGTTACAGTAGGAGAATTACAATCAACTTAGCTTGCTCAGCTCCCTCATCAGAATTGTCTGCACATCACGGGATGGTGGGGTAACCCTGTGATTAAAGTGTTCGCTTGTAAAACTGACGACCCAGTTCAATTCCCCACATGGGTACAATGTGTGAAGCCCATTTCTGGTGTCCCTGGTGTTATATTGTTGGAATATTGGAAAATAGTGTAAAATTCAACTCACTCACTCACTGAGTCACTCATTCCACAGATCAGTACAGTTGTTTATCTATTCACCTTCCAGAGATCCAGATGCTCATGACTTCTCACTGCGTCAATTTCTCAATCGTCAACAACATATACTACACGGGTTTGAAGCCAAGAAACTCAAGTATATTCCAAAAGTAGGTTCAGTATGTCAATATAAATACATGTCATGATGTATGGCAAGTAATCTAATCATTTTACTATATATATAGAGTTGTATACTCCCCAGGGAGTTGAGATTGCTAATACGATGTGCAGTTGATATTGACATCCAATGAATCGAGGGAAAAAGTACCAGCGCCTTGAGCATGCACTAGTGCGTTGATATGTGCGCTATATAAATATCCTATAATAATAATAATAATAATATGTTTCTGCAAACCATTATTACGGACACTGAGAGCAGCTTTTGGTCAGTTGATGACCCCACCAGCTTTTTGCTTGGCTGATGCTGCAAAAAAGTCTTTCTCTGGCATATCATGCTACTGAATTTCACAGCTTACATCATAGGGTTTTGGGAAGTGTTTTTAAACTTTTAAAACGTTTTAAAAGGTAGCACCATCTCTCAAACATATCCCTCCCTCTGATAACATATGACCAGTTCCAAGGTTGTACACAGACCATTTTAGCCTGATCCTACTCTCATTACAACCTGTCTGTCTGTTGCAGATCGTGTATGTGTGTTGTGAACGATTGCTGGAGCTTGCCTCAAAAGGTAACTCTCTCAACAAGACCCGGAGTACATTGTCCATGTCAGATCTAAAGTCTGACATACTTAAAAGAACAATTAGTGGTAATTCCCTAGCAAATAATTCAAGTTCTCAGATATCGGTGCGTTCTAATGAAAATGCCCCGTCTGATGAAGCGGGATCTGAGACTGCCACAAGTGAACATTTTGAAGATTTAAAACAAAAAGATTTTAAAGCTAATGATGTTAATGGCAACGAAAATGGTAAAGGTCATAAAAAGAAAGGTGCTAACAACAAAAAAGACGATTGTATCGCAGACAGCAGAAAAGTTAATCGAAAGTCAAATTCCGAGGGAACCCTGTCAGGGTCAGATAACTCTGTCAGTGATAACACAGTTCAAGCCAGAGACAGTGGAAGTGCATCTGGCTGTGGTATAGATTCCGGCTCAAGCAAGAGCTACACATCAACAAGCCCTCAAGGGTCATCGCCTGAAGATCCGTCTCTCTGGATTGTGGAGGCCTTAATTGAGACAGACTATTCTGATATTGTACTGAAGAAAGTAGCTGCTTTTGAGGTTAGTTGGTTTCTTTTTTTTTTTTTCTTAACGCCACTTTTGAAAATGTGAGCAGCATGCCAATAACACAATCCAATAACACAATCCAACAACACAATTCAATAACACAATCCAGGGGTTGACATCATGAGCGCCAGTCAATGCTATTGGATCTGTGAGTTAATATTTAATGCCATATCAGCATTATCTCTGCCATATAGAGGGGTGGCGGGGTAGCCTAGTGGTTAAAGCGTTGGCTCATCACGCCGAAGACCCGGGTTCGAATCCCCACAAGGGTACAATGTGTGAAGCCCATTTATGGTGTCCCCCGCCGTGATATTGCTGGAATATTGCAAAAAGCGGCGTAAACCCAAACTCAGTCAGTCAGTCTGCCATATAGAGACTTGTGATAGAGTCATGATTACATGCTTGAATCAAGTCAGCAAGTCTGACCCCCAGATCCTGTTTGTCTCCTTTTAAGACAAGCATCGGTTCTGAAGACTTATTCTATCCCAGAGAGTTGGTTTCTTTAGTGATATTTATTTTATTTTAAAAATGGAACAATATCAAATTCTGGCACTGAAGAAGAATATTTTCAGGATATCTGTCAACTGAGCATGTTCATCAGTGGTGAAAGATTATTTTATGTTTGATAAAATGTTTTCCTCCAGAAAGAGAGTAATTGTTATGAGTTCCAAGTGGTCAGTGACTTCAAGCAACTTGTCTAGAGTTCAGTGTCCTGATACACAAAGTGATCTTGGTGCAATGACTACTATTAACCTCTGTTAAATGTGTGTGAGTTATGACCATAATGGAATAATCATCTTGACTGCAGTGGGGTAGGCTAGTGGTTAAAGTTGCCGAAGACCCAGGTTCGATACCCCACATGGGTACAATGTGTGAAGCCCATTTCTTGTGTTCCCGGCTGTGATATTGCTGGAATATTGCTAAAAGTGGTGTAAAACTAAATTCGCTCGCTCATTCACTTGACTGCAATGCTAATCTCCTTTTCTGATGACCCTTACAACACTTTCAGGACATACTGCTACTGTGGTCTTTAAGGTGATCACACATGACTTGAACATATACATATGTAACTGGTGGTTTGTGTCACAGGAAGCACTGAACCAGACTGATGAAGCTTGGAGCGTGATAGCACATGACTTGAACATATACATATGTAACTGGTGGTTTGTGTCACAGGAAGCACTGAACCAGACTGATGAAGCTTGGAGCGTGATAGCACAGGACCAGGATCCGGTCGTCCTCAGTCTCCTCATGTGGGAGTGGCTGGACCAGCTGAGTGTAAGTAGCAGGACGTGGTTGTCCTCAGTCTCCTCATGTGGCTGGACCTGCTGAGTGTAAGTAGCAGGACCAGTCCTGCATGTGGGAGTGGCTGGACCAGCTGAGTGTAAGTAGCAGGACCTGGTCGTCCTGTCTCCTCATGTGGGAGTGTCTGGACCAGCTGAGTGTACATAGCATCAACCGGTCATCCTCAGTCTCCTCATGTGGGAGTGGCTGGACCAGCTGAGCGTAAGTAGCAGGACCTGGTCTTCCATAGTCTCCTCATGTGGGAGAGGCTGGACCAGCTGAGTGTAAGTAGCAGGATTTGGTCGTCGTCAGTCTCCTCATGTGGGAGTGGCTGGACCAGCTGAGTGTAAGTAGGAGGACCTGGACTTCCTTAGTCTCCTCATGTGGGAGAGGCTGGACCAGCTGAGTGTAAGTAGGAGGACCTGGACTTCCTCAGTCTCCTCCTGTGGCTGGACCAGCTGAGTGTAAGTAGCAGGACTTGGTCGTCCTCAGTCTCCTCATGTGGGAGTCGCTGGACCAGCTGAGCGTAAGTAGGAGGACCTGGTCGTCCTCAGTCTCCTCATGTGGCTGGACCAGCTGAGTGTAAGTAGCAGGACGTGGTCATCCTCAGTCTCTTTTGGCTGGACAAACTGAGTGTATGTAGCGAGATTGCTCAAGTCTCCTCAAGTGGCTGGTTCACGCAAATGGAAGTAACAAGGCTTGATCCTCTTCAGTCTCTTGTGACTGGACCAGCAGATTTACTACTGCATCATAGAAAAGCTCAACTTCCTGAATCAGTGAAATAATATGTTCAAAAGTCAAGGAGTGCTGATCGAGGTTGTGCATGGCAATACATTTTGTGTTGGAAGCATGATAATCATAGACTAAGATTTTATTCACATTTTGGCCAACAGAGAGCTTGAATTGTTTACTATTTACAAACCGCCACCATATAGCTGGAATATTGCTGAGTGCGGCATAAAACTAAACTCACTCACTCACTCACTCTAAATGCATGTCAAGGAAGTCATGTTAATGTATTTGATATACAAAGACACCCAGGTGAGATTGTGTATGTGACATGTTTTCAGGAACCGGCTTTGTCAGCTCAGGATTTGCTGACCCTGCTGGGGAGTCATGAACCTCCGCTGGATGCTCTGTTCAAGGTGGAGAAGGTGAGACGTCTTCATGTATGTCAGCTACCAATGTCTCCAGACTCAAACCTGCTGTGTGGCAGGACATCACGAAATGTGTTGACCATGTCTTTTGGAACAATCAACTAAAATGCCTCCTGTGTTCATATTGCTTATTTAAAAAAAAATGTGCAGCCAACTAAAATAAGTCTCCTGGATCCTGTAACTATATGTGTTCAAAGTGGTAAATCAGATTGTGTGGAAGGAATGGTAGGAGAGTGCTCATATTGGTATGTCTGCTACAGTCTGGGATTATTATCCCCCGCCATGAGGTGGCAGGGGGATATTGGTTTGAGCTCCGTCCGTCCGTCTGTGCATCCAAGATGATGGGGACAGATTTTCTCAAAAACCGTTATAGATAGGGAAACCAAATTTTGTGTTTATTTTTAGGACATGAATGCCTTGATGGAGTTTGAAAACAGATACCGTGCTACAATTTGTTGCTGAATTATGGCCTTGTCATGCGTTTCTTGAGTTAGTGCGCGATATCCCCAATGGGGACAGATTTTCTCAGTAACTGTTATAGATAGGGAAACCAAATATGGTATGTGTGGTAATGTCGTGGTGGAGTTAAAAAACAGGAACTAAATAGGAACAGAACACTGTGGCGGGGGATATTGATGACCATGTCTTCTTGTTTATAGATGATACACGTGGTGCATTGGCATAAAACAGCAAGTATAAATCTTATCCCTTTTTGTCCTTCCTATCCAGGGGGTGAAGTACCTGCTGGAGTACGTCTCGCGAGTGATCATCAAGCTGCAGCCCATCTCCAGCAGCCTCCAGCAGAGTCTCCTGGAACGTTTTCTGTCCCATCTCACACACCAATCAGTACGTCAGGAGGTCCTCTCCCGACACGGACCAGAGTCCATGGATGACTGGCCCAAGATGAGGTCCAACACCACCAGGGACCTCATCCGCTTTGTTGAAAAACTCATCAAGAACATGAAGGTCAAGGACAGCAAGAAGCGGTGAGAAAAGTAGTGCATTGCTGGAGGGTGATGTGTTTTGAAGACAGTGTCAAGGTCAAGGACAACAGGAAGCAGTGGAGAAGTTTACCACTGGGTAGAAGGTGCTTGTGCCGGATTAGTGTCACCCTGGTGACCTTGAACTAGCCTGTGGTATATGAAGCTTAGATATTCACTGTTTCGGGTTATTCCAACCCTTGACTTTCGTTCCGTTTTGAACTCTGTCAAGAGGTAGTCAGAGAGTGCAGAGTCAAGACAGTTTGTATACAGTATATACACACAGACTATCAGGCTTACTTATGGACTCTGAAGGTGATGTGTGTTGAAAACAGCACAGAGGCCAAGGCCTCACTGTTACACAGCAAGGATATGGAACGAATGGGGGTCTGTATGTGAAGCTATAGTGGACTCTTAGTCTAGTGAACAACGTTCAAAACCACCAGTGTAAAAAAGCGATTTATGGGAAGCAAGGTGATTTTACATGGGCTGTGATAACTCATTAATGGTGTCATAAGTTTTGTGTAAAACCACCAGTGTTTTTTCCATTGTACTACATTATTCACCTGTGAGAGATGGTCATTGCAAACCTGTATAAAACTCAACTCTCTGTGTTCTAACATACACATTATGAAGCCACGTATATCTCAACACATAATTTGGGATAGTGGCGAGCATGTTCATCCGTCCATCTTGTAGTCGTGTCTGGAGCACAACCGTTGTCTTTGTGAATGTTTTCTCCTGTTTTGGAGACTGTGATCAGGGACAGGTGTCTTTAAACTTGTATTTGGTGAAAGCATCAAGTATTTTGAAGCCTATCTTTTCATGTTCTTCATTTGGCAATGTCTGAAATTATGCTACGGTATAAATTATTTATTATGTGAACATTTGAAGGCTCATTTGCTGTGTAATGAAATGATGGTCTCAGGACACCAACTCATTAATGATCATACAGTCTGCTACTTTAGCCACTAGTTGAAAGTCTGAGGCTAGTAGCATTCTGTCTGGTCAAGGCAGCTACAGATAGATAGCAGAATAACTTTAAAATACTGAAAGTGGTGCCAAGAGTGAAGTTATGAATAATAGACTGAATATTTATTGTGGTAGATTGTAGTGTTGTACCTGGTGTAGTGAAGTTGGATCTGTGTATAAGTAAGTATTAGATTCCGTGACATCTCCACCAATCATGTAACAATTTAGACAGAGACAGTACCCTGATTGTAGTGATATATGGTCCCTGGTGCAGTGGAGTTGAATCTGTGTATAAGTAAGCATTAGATTCCGTGACATCTCCACCAGTCATGTAACAATTTAGACAGAGACAGTACCCTGATTGTAGTGATATATGGTCCCTGGTGTAGTGAAGTTGGATCTGTGTATAAGTAAGTATTAGATTCTGTGACATCTCCATCAGTCATGTACCGATTTTGAGATATGTGGCGCTGTCAGACCACTGTGTGATATACCTTGTTTCTGGATGGCATTTCCAGGTTCTTGTAACCATGGTTACCTTGTGTTTCACATCCATATATGGTCAAACAGCGTTGTGTTAAACATTGATGTGTCAAACTTATGGTTGCAAAAGGTATTCTTTAGTAACTAATCGTTTCCACTTGTGTCAAACATCAGATAACTTAAGGTCCCTTTTACCGAGACTCTGTGATGTTTGGTTGTATATTGTTCGTCTCACTCCCAGTTTTAACTGTAAACAAACAAACTTGTTGGTAGTTCAAAACTAACTGGTGCCTAAATGGTTTTAGTTATTTGGTTTACACCTAATTTGAAAAAATGTCAAAAACTTGTCAACCTGACTTTGTATTTTTTATTTTCTAATAACACTTAGCAGTCAGTTTTGGGGAATAAGATTTATTCGCATTTTTATTTGTTTGGGTCTGTCTAGACATTGTACTGATCATCAGTTTTCAGAGTTGGATCCCTGGCATTTTTCTCATTTACAGGAATATATATAATTTTGTTTTCTATTCACCAGTTCATGTTCTTTTCAACCGAATATCTGCTGGGCATGGTGGATATGCAAAAGTCAATTTGTGAAGACCATTTTCATTTCCCTAGTGGCATTTTTTTGTATTGTTTCCAGATCTGAAAACATAAATAATAAAAACGTAGCTGAAGGGACAGACAAGTGATTGCATTTTTCTTTTGTAGTACATCCAGAGATAATTCCAACAATGTTTTCAATCTAGCCCTCTCTCAGTGTTAGGCTCTATCATGATCCACGTAATGATGTCGAGGTCTCAAAGATTGGATCAGTTTTACGTTAATCAGTTTACCACGTTGACTTCTGAGGTAATATTATCAAGAAATGAAGATGATTACGGTTGAGCAGTAAAAACATATTGTTGCCATGGTAACGCAAACTGTGATACAAAAAGCATCCCATTCCCAGATTATACTTTGTTTTTTAATGTGTTCTGTTTTGTGGTGATGTTAGTCAGTTACGTGTGAATACTTTCGGTGGCTGTTTTAAGATGATCAAGACAAGGTTACAGCTGTGATATTCATGGGAAATTATGATAAAGAATATATGTGATGATTCAGCAACCCTTGCTTGTCATAAGAGGTGAATAACAGGATCAGGGGACTGGGACTGCTGACTTGGTTGGTGCACGGGGGTTGTGTTCCAGTTGTGTAGATCGATGCTAATGATGTCAATCACTGGATTATGTGGTCTCAATTATTTACAGGCAGCAGTTACACAGCTGTGATATTGCTTTGTGTGAGGTTAACAAAATATTGTTGTAGTGTACACAGTTATGTCAATGATGGGATTCATAAAAATATGTTTCTGTACATATATATTTAACAATAAGATTAATATTAGCGTCTCTGCTGAAATGTGAATCATGTGTTAAACTAGAGTCTGGATATTCAGCAAGTGCTTGTTGGTGTTGGCTGTTGGCATGTGTATGAAAGTCACGTGGACAGTCCCACTGAGGAAACTGTCTGCACACAGGGTAAGATCTTCACCATGTTTTTTGTATAAGGTCTTTAAAACAATTGGTGCAGAGATTTCCATAATGTGTGTGTTAATAGATTTGTTGAGAAATGTGTTGATTTATTTAAATATTTATTGAAAAATGTCATACATGGATATTGCAGAATGTTACTAAGACTAACACTTAGTTCAAATATTTGAGTTTGTCAAACATATAATACAAAGGAACACATTGAAAGAACACCTGGACTTGCCAAGTTATTATCGCTTACCTTGAAGCTTTTGATACTAGAACACGAGTGCCAGTGTTTTATAGGGAAATAGCATTCTGTTAAACAAAGGACATGGTAAAACCTCACCCTTTGTTCTTGTGACAGAACATGTATACCCTAAGTACTGGTACAACTGTCTATCTGAGAGCACAGGCAAGTACTCAAGTTCGACAAGCAATACACTGAAGATCACACAAATTCCACCATTTGTTTTATTCACCTGTCGTCAAGTGTCAGGCCTGACGAGCTGAAATGGACAAGTTTCAGGAAGCAAGAGAGTTCACACCTTAATGATCACTCACAGGATGAAAATATTTACTGGTACCTGTTTTCTAACTATTTCTCAGTTGTATAAGAAACTGACGGCAGCAATGAGTAATAATAGCAATAATCATGATAGTAATTTCTTTGCAGATTAGCCATTTGCAACTGAAATATTACTTTTAACAATGTCTCAATTTTAACCTTTTATCATAGAAGTTAGTATAGATGTCTTCTGTTTGATGTCATTAGTTACCTCATACTGTTTGGTTTGATGTCGGAAGGGGTCATTTGACTTGTTCATACATTGTATTTCTTACTAGACTCAGACATGCTGTTGTGATCTGGTGCAGTTATTGATCATGCACACTGATAGCTATTGACTGACTTGTTGAATTTGAAATATATGGTATGTGATTTAATAGAAATGCATTCCTGTTTCATGATAAATCATTGAGAGTAACTTAAAGATTCTGGAAAGTTTCATCATCTGGCTATGGTGCTTATATTATAACCCTCTTGTGGGATCACAGAGAGTTGTAATTATTACAGAGATGCCACTCACACGATTTTATCGTATTTGTTACGAAACAACAACACAAAATACGTGATTACGATAACAGTAAAAATATACAATTTTTTAACAAATTACATTAAATTATCAATAGCATATACCATACACAATAAATTGCATCCACATTTTATTCAGTATCAAGCAGTATGTGGATACTTATTACTGAATATTTATACATGAAAATTCTTTGGAAAGGTTAATGCTAATTTTTCCCCAAAATGCAAATTTTTGTATCAGTTTTTGGCCAAAATACTAATTGGGCTAATTTAGGGTTGGCATCTCTGTTATTAGTCTTGTCATATTACTGACTACATTTGTGGACGGGTAAAGGTTTGTGTATGGGCACTGACTTCATACAAACACATCCAAATGAAACAATTTGTGTTACACTGATAAATTTCAGACAACAGGTAGCATGTGTTGTTAATGTTTTGTAAAATCAAGTGAAGACCAGCAACAAGATGATGTCATGTGTTTGTAAAATTTCAAAATTTCAGGATGATCCTAAGACAAAAAATTGGGGGGTACAGATTTTGAGATTGTCAAATTTGGTCAGGAGGTCAAAAACATTTCTAAAAAGGTGCAACGTACAAGATTTCTGCTGAAAATACAGTCTTGATCTTGTATTGATCCTTTATATAAATATTATGAATCTAGAATTTGACAGCAACATATGAGATTTGTGCATTGGCTGGTCAGACTAGTGATTAGGGTTTACAGTTGACAATGGTATCTTTTGCATTCATTGCAAATCTGCTATAATAGTTTCTTTTGAGATGTTTCTTTTTTGGAGTAGAAATTATTCTACTTGTTTTTATTCATCTTTCCTATGTGCCATTGTTTTCTTTGGTTTACAGGATGAACTTATTTCAATTCTACATTTAACATTAGATTATGTGATGTGCTTCTGTCCATCTTGTTTGTCTACATGCTTGCAATTCAGACATTGAATATGAATATCTATGTTGATATTTTTGTGACAGTTTATCACTTATTTCAAGTGATCTGTTGCTTTTTTTATGTCAATTTGTTGCTTTGTGTGCATGATAACTTAGCTGCAATCATCAAACCATTTTTAGAAATTCAAGTTCAGGATTAATTTTATGTGAAAATAGAATCTGTATATTATAGAATATATGATAACAATAAAAAAGTAAAAAATAGTTCCAATGCCACAAAAACTGTGGAATTGTGAACTGCATATCTGATATAGTGGATCACATTGTAGCTTAAGTAATTGATGTCTGTTGAATTCACCAATGAACATTGATCCGTGTTGACTAGTAAAGCCCCCAAAACTGAGGTTTACAAAAAGGACATTCAATAACTGATAGAAGGAATATATTGCATTTCAATACCTGTCCATTTTTTTAATTATGTCTTTGGATATGTATACTTGGTTG